GGCATTTTCACCCACCCAGTACAGCCTTTCAATTTGGCCCCAGTGGTACCGCCCACATGCGTCCCCCACATCCAATTTGGTATTTTCACCCATCCAGTACAGCGCTTCGTCGCCCAATAGGGAGCCCCACCGAACCCCCCAGTGGGACCGCCCGCATGCGCCCCCCACACCCAACTTGGCATTGTTACCCACCCAGGACAGCGTTTCGTGGCCCCATAGGGAGCTCCACCGAAACCCTCAGTGGGACCGCCCGCATGCGTCCCCCCCCCCCCCCACACACACAATATGGCATTTTCACACACCCAGTACAGCGTTTCGTGGCCCCATAGGGAGCTCCACCGAAGACACCAATAGGACCGCCCGCATCTGCCACCTACGCCCAATTTGGCATTTTCACACCCACTGCAGCGCTTCGTGACCACATAGGGAGCTCCACCGGAGCCCCCAATGGTACCGCCCACATGCGTCACCCGCATCCAATTTTGCATTTTCGCCCTCCCAGTACAGCGTTTCGTGGCCCAATAGGGAGCCCCACCGAAGCCCCCAGTGGGACCGCCCGCATGCGTCCCTCACACCCACCTTGGCGTTGTCACCCACATAGTACAGCGCTTCGTGGCCCAATAGGGAGCCCCACCGAAGCCCCCAGTGGGACCGCCCGCGTGCGTCCACCACACCTAATTTGGCATTTGCGCCCACCCAGTACAGCGTTTCGTGGCCCCATAGGGAGCTCCACCGAAGCCCCCAATGGAACCGCCCGCATCCTTCCCCCACGCTCAATTTGTCACCCACCCAGTACAGCGCTTCGTGACCCCATAGGGAGCTCCACCAAAGCCCCCAGTGGTACCGCCCACATGCGTCCCCCACATCGAATTTGGCATTTTCACCCATCCAGTACAGCGTTTCGGGGACTTCAGATGGTTGGGTCCTTCGCCAGGTATTTTTTCCCAACCGTCCTGCCTTGCGACCTTCTCCTCCCGCCCCCCTCCTCCTGTCCCCTTCTTCTTGCCAGCCACCCAGCCTTCTACCTCGCCGTCCTGCCTGGGGGTTTGCTGGGAGGCTGCGAACTGCGAAACTGTCGCCACGTTCGAGGGCTGCTGGGGGTCCAGTGGAGTGACGCCTTGCGTAGAACTAGATAAGACCTCGCCATCCCTGGGGTGCGAACTGCGCAACAGTCGCCACTTTTGAAGGCTGCTGGGTGGTCCAATGGAGTGAATCCTCATGAAGACCTACGTCACTTAGACCTCGCTATTTGTGAGGGACTGCGAACTGCGAAACAGTCGACACTTTCGAGGGCTGCGGGGGGGTCTAGCGGAATGATGCCGTACGCAGACTTCGATTAGACCTCGCCATCCCTGGGGGGCTGCGATTTGTGTAATTGTCGCCACGTTGGATGGCTGCTGGGTGGTCTAACGGTGTGACGCCTTACGCAAACCTAGATAAGAACTCGCTATCTTGGGGCGGCTGCGAACTCTGAATCTGTGATATCGGGGATATCTCTGGGGAGCTGGGTTGAGATCGGGGATGTGCAGAACGAGTTGCATAGGATCGTGAGGGCTGAAGGCTTGAGAAGGTGATGGTAACAGCAGTTGGTATGCTGCACCGCATCGTATTTTTCCCAATCCTCCTGTGTTCGGTTCTCGTTTTGAATAAAGCGCTGTGGTATCGACTCCTTCTCTTTTTCCTCCCTCCTCCTCCTCCTCCTCCTCCTCCTCCTTCTCCTTCTCCTCCTCCTCCTCCTCCTCCTCCTCCTCCTCCTCTTTTTCCTTCTCCTTCTCCTTCTCCTTCTCCTTCTCCTTCTCCTCCTCCTCCTTCTCCTCCTTCTCCTTCTCTTTTTCCTCCCGCCTCCTCCTCCTCCTCCTCCTCCTCCTCCTCCTCCTCTTGCCCCCTCCTGCGCTGCTCGAACTGCGCAACTGTCGCCACTTTCGAGGGCTCCTTGGGAGGTCCAGCGGAGTAGGGGAGTACACGCACCCAGCCGAGACCTCGCAGCTCCCTGGGTGGCTGCGAACTGACAAACTGTCGCCACTTTCGTGGGCTCCTGGGAGGCACGGCCGAGACCTTGCGGCTTCTTGGGAGATTTCGAACTGCGCAGCCGTCGCCACTTTCGTGGGCTCCTGGGAGGCACTGCGGAGTGGGGGAGTACGCGCACCCAGCCAGGACCTCGCCGCTCCCTGGGCGACGGCGCATTGCGCAAGCGTCTCTTCTTTCGTGGGCTCCTGAGAGGCCCGGCGGAGTAGGGGAGTACGCGCACCCAGCCGGGACCTCGCAGCGCACTGGGGGGCTGCGAACTCCCGTTTTGGTGGGCTCTTTGGAAGCACGGCGGAGTAGGGGAGTGCGCACACGCAGCCGAGACTAGGGCTTGCACCTTAGGGCTTAGAGCTTAGGGCTTTGGGCTTAAACCTTAAAGCTTTGGGCTGAGGGCTAGGGGCTGAAAGCCTGGGATTCGGGTCTTAGGGTTATGGCTTACGGCTTAGGGCTTAGGTTTCGGGCCTAGTTCTTAGGGAACATAGCCTAGGGGTTAGGGCTTATGGGTTGGAGGTTAGGAGTGAGGGTCCGTGTGCTAGTGCGTTAGGGTCAGGGTGTTTGGCTTATGGTGGTATGGTTAGGGTGCTAGTGCTAGGGTGTTACGGTCAGAGTGTTACGCTTAGGGTAGTAGGGTTCGGGTTAGGGCGGTAGGGTTCGGGTTAGGGTGTTAGGGCTGGGTAGGGTTCGGGTGTTAGGGTTAGGGCGGTAGGGTTCGGGCCAGGGTGTTAGGGTTAGGGCTTACGGTTCAGGGCGGTAGAGTTCGGGTTAGAGTGTTAGGGTTAGGGTGTTAGAATTCGGGTGTTTGGGTGTGAGTGTTAGGTTGTTTGGGTTTGGGTGTTTGGCTCAGGGTGTGAGGGTTCGGGTGTTAGGGTTAGGGTGCTAGGATTAGGGTTGTGGCGGTGGAGTTAGGGGGAAGGGCTCCAAGACTAGGGGGGCGGCGTGGCCCAAGGGGGGAAGGGGGGTCCCTGGATTTCATGACCCTCTCATCTTTTTTTCCAACGTCACTTGGTCACCGCCTCGTCCGCGCGCGTGCCTCGGGCCATGATTTACGAGCCCCCCTCTTGGAAGCCCCCCTCTTGGACGCCCCCCTCTTGGACGCCCCCCAGACGGTGTGGTGACTACACGGCCTGGTGAGTCGGTGGGAATTCGGGGTCACCGCACGGTTTTCGGACTCGGGTCTATCTTTGAGGCCGTCTCAGGCGACTTCGGCCTCCGAGGTCCCAAAACCGCGCGGTGATGGACCGTGTGGTCAGGCCGTTGGGGCTTCCGAGGTCACCACGCGGTCCGTCACAGCACGGTTTTTGGGCTCCGCATCGGAGGAGGGCCTCTTCTTTCGAAAAGCAGAAGCGGCAACACACACAGTTTCTCGGAGCTCCGCGCGGACTTCTTGGATCTGCGCTGGACCGAGAAATCCGCGCGGCGGAGCACGGATCAATCATGTTTGTGCGTGCTGTTTTTCGTTCCTCTGTCCTCAGAGCCTTGGAGCCGATTGCAGCGTCACCGCCCCCAGATCTGCGGCGATATGGATATGGCTTTGTTGTTGCCATCTGGGAGTTTGTTCGTTGTTGGCATAGATTTCGGCATTTGGGCCCCGTTTTCGCGCCCAGGGACCATAACGAACTGGTCAGGGGCGAAATGCTTGCACTGGGCAAGGGGTCGGGACCTCTTGGGCCGCGCATCAAAGACCCACATCGTCGAGTTTCCAGAACAATAGCATTTACTCAACCGACGTCTGTTCGCTTGCGTCCGCAGACCAAACCACAGATGGCCGGGACGAAGTCGGGAGCAGCTCCTTTTTGGATGGATGCCCTTGTGCTCTTCGTGTCAGGGCCCTCCACCTTGGAGTGCCCTTCGTTCTGGGTGTACTCGCGCGGCCTTGGGCCTTCGGCCGAGGGGCACGTGTTCTTTGCCCGCGTTCTCGCGGTCTTGTTTGGATTGCACCCCGCACTTGGCAAAGACCAGATGGGATGCCGAGGTTGAAGCAGCAGCAAGAGTAGGAGAAAATGGAGTTCCTCCTCCGTTTGCTCCTCCTTTTTGGGGCTCCCAGCTTCCCCGCCTCCCCCTTCATCTTGCCCTCTTGAGAGGGTTGGAGGTCTGGAAAGGAGCGGGAGGACGAAAAGTAGGGGGAGGAGGGGGAGGAGGGAGGGAGGGAGGGAGGGAGGGAGGGAGGGATGATGATGCTGATGCTGATGCTGATGCTGAGGATGATGCTTCTGATGATGATGACGACGATGATGACGATGACGATGATGATGATGATGATGATGATGATGATGATGATGATGATGATGATGATGATGATGATGATGATGATGATGCTGATGATGATGATGATGCTGCTGCTGATGCTGATGATGGTGATGTGGTGATGATGATGATGCTGCTGCTGCTGATGATGATGATGATGATGCTGATGCTGATGATGATGATGATGATGATGATGATGATGCGGCTGATGCTGATGATGGTGATGATGATGGTGATGATGATGCTGATGATGATGATGATGATGATGATGATGATGATGATGAGGGATGAGGGAGCGGAGGAGGAGGAGGAGAGGAGGAGGGAGGAGGAGGAGGAGAGGAGGGGAGGAGGGAGGAGGAGGAGGAGGAGGATGAGGAGGAGGAGGAGTAAGAGGAGGAGGAGGAGGAGGAGGAGGAGGAGGAGGAGGAGGAGGAGTTTCCCCCAGGAGGGCACTTCGGCGTGTGGGCGGCACGTCGGGGCTCCTGAGGTGAACTGAAATCCGCCAAGACGTCGCCTGTGCAGGTGCGGCGCGGCGGGCCAGGGGCGTCGATGCCCTGACGGGCCTGGGGCGGTCCCCCCGTACTCTTGCGGTGGTCCCGCTTTGGTACGGGTCTGCCGTCACAGGTCCCTCGGGGAACTGGCGCTCTGGGGCCGCGAGGGTAAACCCCCTGGGCCGGCGTGGATCTCGGTCCGCGTCGGCTTGCGTGGTGCCTGCCTTTGTGGGGGCAGGCCCAGCCACTGTGCCTCCCGTGACGTCGTGGGGCAAGGATGTGGCTGGGGGGTCGGCTTGCGGGCACGGCTCAAGACGTGTACCGCCTGCCCCCCCTTGGGCAAGGGGGCCTGTGGGGGCGGGCCAGGTTACCCATGCGCGGAAACACGCGCCGTGTGCTCCGAACGGCGACGTTGGGTAACCAATGTCCCCTGGCGCTTGTAGAACCAGGGAGGCATGGGGACCGCTCGCCGAAGGTTGTTGGTGTTCATCACGATCTACCTGGCGAGCCTGGCGCCTCTTTCTCTTTTCTTCCTCTTGTCGTCCTCCTTCTTCCTCCCCTCGGGCCCCGCCAGGAGGATGCGGCGCCCAGCTCTAGGGTGTCGCGGGGCGTCGGGGTCGCGGGGCTGGGCGTTTGGCTCCGCCCCCCCCGCCCCTTGCGCAGGTGGTTTGGATTGAACCTGATCGCATTGGGTTGCGTCGAGCAGGAGGAGGAGGAAGGGCAGGATTAGGAGCAGGAGCAGGAGGAGGACCAGAGCGAACCTGGCATGGAACACCGACGCCGCGCCACATCCGTTCCGGTGTCCCCCGCATTAGTCGATGCGTGTGTTCTTGTCCACCATGGCGACCTGCCGCTGGACAAATGAAGGTGTCCTGTGGGCCTGCTGCATGCTCAGATCCTGGCAGGGTGGGGTGTTAAGACCCCTGCGGTTGATGCTTCTTGGAATTTGTATAAGTCAGACCCGTGTGGCCTTTCGGGCTGGAGGTCAGGCTGGACGTTCGGCTAGGCGTACATAGTGCTGAACGTAGGGCTGGGCGTCGGGTCGGGTGTCGGGCTGGGCGTTTGCCACGTGATGTTGCGTGCCATGAGTTGTGAGAGGATGCTTTATGTTCAGCCGCCTGACGCGCCAACTCATGTTTTGTTCATGCAATCATATGTAGCGGGTACGAATTTTGAAACATGTGTGCGGCGCCGAAGCGTGAGCGCGACTTCGAACCGTCAAAACGTGCGCGTCTGTGTGTGTGTGTGTGTGTGTGAAAGTGTTTACGTTTTTGGGCCATGACCTGTTAGGGCATCCCAGGCTGTAGGACGTTGTCACGTTTCGGAAGCCAGCCTCTTAACCTCCCGTGTACTTGTCATTAACTATCACGACCACATCGTTGTTCGAACGATAGGTCGATTCAGAAAACGCACCGCCCTCCAACAGCACGGCTATCATAACTTCAGTTTTTTTTTTCTTCCTTTTCTTTTCGCAGGGTGTCATGCGGGGCGAAGCTTCAGGCGACAGCCAAGTTTTGCAACTAATCGCCCTGCATCCGTAGAACTGTTGGACGTTCCACTGTTCAGAACCATGACGCCGAAGGGAGATGAGGACGCCCAAGGAATGAGGGGGGTGGCTGTGGGGGTGTGGGGGGGCAAGGGCAGGACAGCAGCAAAAAAGAGCAGGGGGCACATTTCGAGGAGGAGGAGGGGGAGGGGAACACATACGGAGAGTAATGGGAACATGAGGGTGATTCGGCGCAGGGGGATGGGAAGCAGAAGTTGGAAGGGGAAAAGGAGAAGGGTGAAGGAGGGTGGGTATGTTGCGGACGAGGGGAATCACAATGTCGATGATACTGGTGACGAGGACGATGACGATGACGACAACGAGTATGAAGATGATGATTGTCATGATGATGCTGATGATGGTGATGTTACCGCTGCTGATGATGAGGCAGCTGCTGATGGTGATGGTGATGGTGATGTTGATGAGGATGCCGATGATGCTGAGATACTGATGACGATGATCATGACGATGATGATGATGGTTGTGATGATGATGCTGGTGACGACGATTACGATGATGATGATGACGCTGCTCAAACGATCATGATGGTGGTGATAACGACGATGCTCATGATGATGTTGGTGATGGTGATGGTGATGGCGATAATGATGAGATGCTCTTGCTGATGATGATGATGATGATGATGATGATGATGATGCTGCTGCTGCTGCTGATACCGTTACTGATGTTTGCGATTCTGATTCTGATGATGCTGCTGCTGCCGATTCGTACAGCGACGTTGATGCAGATGATGATGGTGATGATGATGATGCTGCTGATGATGATGATGATGATGATGCTGGCGATGCTCATGATGATGATGACGACGGTGATGATGATCATGGTAACGTTGCTGATGATGATGCTGATGCTGATGATGCTCATGATGATGATGATGATGATGAATATGATGATTCTGCTGTTGATGATCTCGATGATGATGCTGATGATGTTGATGATGGTGATGATGACGATGCCGATGGCGACGGTGACGATCCTGCTGATGATGCTGATGATGATGCGGATGCTGCTGTTTGTGATGATTACGACGACGGCGACGACGATGATGCTGACGATGATGACGATGATGGTAATGATGCTGGTAATGATGATGATGATGATGATGATGATGATGATGATGATGATGATGAGGATGATGATGATGATGATGATGATGATGATGGTGATGATGATGATGATGCTGATTATTGTTATGATGCTGCTGGTGGTGGTGATGATGCTGATGCTGATGCTGATGCTGATGATGATGGTGATGCTTCTGATGACGATGCTGACGGCGATGATGATGATGATGATGATGATGATGATGATGGTGATGGTGATGATGGTGCTGATGCTGGTGGTGGTGGCGATGCTGCTGATGCTGATGATGCTGATGATGCTGATGATGGCGACGAGGATGATGCTGAGGATCATGATGACGATGCTGCTGATGATATTGCAGCTGCTGGTGAGGACGATGCTGGTGCTGCTGACTATGATGATGCCGATTCTGATGCGTTGAATGTCGATATTGTCGAGCAGCAGTACGACAACGTCGACAAGTGGGATGAAGGGGGAGGCGAGCGACAGGGTGATGATCATGCTGGTGGTGCTGACGAAGGTGGTGGTGATGATGGTTATGCTGCTGCTGATGATGATGATGACGACGAGGATGCTTCTGATGATCATGATGACGATGCTGCTGATGATATTGCAGCTGCTGATGACGACGATGCTGGTGCTGCTGACTATGATGATGCCGATTCTGATGCGTTGAATGCTGATGTTGCCGAGCAGGACGAAAACGTCGACAAGTAGAATGAAGGGGGAGGATGGGGACAGGGGATGATTAGGATGAGGCTGATGATGATGATGATGATGATGATGGCGATGATGATGATGATGCTGCTGTTGACGATGATGATGATGATGCTGATGCTGATGATGCTGATGATGACGATGCTGCTGCAGATGATGAGGCTGATGATGATGATGATGATGATGATGATCATGGTGGTGGTGGTGGTGGTGATGAAGATGATGATGATGATGATGATGCTGATGCTGATGATGATGATGATGATGATGATGAGGCTGATGATGATGATGATGATGATAATGATGATGAGGATGAGGATGAGGATGAGGATGAGGATGAGGATGATGATGATGATGATGATGATGATGATGATGATGATGATGGTGATGCTGATGATGCTGATGATGCTGATGATGCTAATGATGATGTTTCTGATACTTTTGTTGTTGATGATGATGCTGGTGAGGAGGGGGAGTAGGAGGAGGGAGGATGAAAGGAGGAGGAGGAGGAGGAGGAGGAGGAGGAGGAGGAGGAAGAGGAGGGGGGGACATCAGCAGCGGCAGCGATAGCAGCGGCCAAGGCAGCGGCAGTTGTCGCGGCAGCGGCGGTGGCGGGCGGCGTCGGTGGCAGCAGCAGCAGCAGTAGCAGTGATGTCAGCGGTGGTGGCAGCAGTGGTGGCATCAGCAGTTGTGGCGGCAGCGGCAGGTGTCTGGATGCGGTAACGCTGCTCCCTGGGCGGCCAGTGCTGGCCCGTGCCCTAGCTGGTTGCGCTCCAGGGCTGCACGGCGAAGGGCGGTTGGATATGCATATGTTCGTTGACACGGGGGGGGGTAGTGCAATTCTTCACACTTCGCGTTGCCCCACCAGGCGCCTACGGCACGGACGTCGTCCGGGTGTGCCTGTCGGTCCTGCTCGTCTCTGACGGTGCCTTGTGCCGACTCACAGCGATTGATTGACCTTTGCGTGTTTATGGTCGCGCCGCCGCGCCATTTTGGCTGCGCTTACTTGCTGGTCGCCACCGGGATCTCCACGCCACCGGGTTGGGAGTTTCTTTTCTGGCTCTTTTTCTGAGTGGCTGACCGCGCGCTCTTTTCGCTTGCCTCTTTTTTCTTGCTGCTTAGTCGCGGCCCGACTAGTGTTCGGACGGCTTTCGACCTGCTTCGCGGGCCTGCAGACCAAAAAGTGTCCCCACCAGGGGTCCGTAGCCTTGACTCAAGCCGTCTGACGGGAACCCTGTCGCTCGAGGGGGCGCCCGACGCTGCGCCACGGCCTCCGGGCCCGCGGCCGCGGCACCGCCATCTGCCCCCCCGCGCTGACGTGCCGTGCGGCTCCCCCTCCACCACGACTCACGGCTGCCTGCGGTTGGCTTAGCGGATGGAGCAGGCGGAGAATCGCCCCCGCCGGGACCCTGGTTCATGCGGGGAGTGTATCGTGCAAGTGCAGGGCCTGGGGGCCTCGTCGCTGCCGGAAAATCAGTCTGCCCAGGGGCCTCCTGGGACCATCGACCATGCATTCGCCGCGCGGGGCCGACCAGATCTGGGTCAGATCGCTTCCGATCCTGACCAGGCCCCCACTTCCGATCGTGAACACATCGAGGGCATCGCTGATCGCAGCTGCCCCATGCCAGCGCAGTCGTATGTCTCAGGCGAACCCAATTCCAATCATTCTGCGGCTGTTAGCTGCGCCCTACCAGAGAACCAGCACATCGCAAGCGGAGTGACCTCAATCCGCCCTGCGGCTGACATCCGCATTCCGACTGAGCAGCGTGGTGTCTGCAATCCAGTGCAGGGTCGACATCATCCTGGCGAAGCTGTGATTTAGCACCCTGCGGTTGGCAGCGGCGCCCCAACTGCTCAGACTGGCGTGACCTTTGCCCCCCAGGTTGCGCCATCCTCGTATGTTCCCTCAGGGCGGCCACCAGTCCTTGCCAGAACTTCATTCCCACATACCACCGCTGATACCCTTATTGGCACGAGCGTCACTGCCCCCCGCGTCAATTCGGCGGGCAACCGCGATGTACCATAACATCGACAGGCCTCAGGCGAAACGGTTCCGTATCAATCCTCGGGCCTTACCCTTACCTCAATATAACAACGGCCTTTCCCAAACACGATCGACGACTGCGTAGGGCAGGAGATGTCACCCAACCGTCCCCGTATTCCAGACGACCCCCAATCCGAACTCGACCCACCTGTTAGCGGGTGCCGGGAAACCCCCCCCCCCCGTTTACAGGCATCCGGTTGACGCCGCCGCCTGTGGAAAAGGCTCCAGGGCGAACAGGAGATAACAATCTCAACGCTCCCGCCGCTTCCCACCGGCCGCCAGCCCTGCACGGCGACATTGCCCCGCCTTGTTATTCGGACGTAGTTGATTTTTTTTTTGCCCTGCCTCTGTCTGATTCAGAGGGGCTTCGCAGAAAGAGTAACGCCCCCCCCAAGCGGGTGAAGTGTACGCCAGCAGGGATGGGCGCAATGGGTCCCGCAGCATCACTTCTTAGCGAAGGAACAGGGCCGAGGACAGGGAACCCGAGGGAGGCTCCCCTAACGCAAGGGATCCGAGGTGCTCCGACGCTCCTCCACCCCCCCAGGAGGACGGCCGGTTATTTCCACCCCCTGGACTCGGATCTGGAACGACCAGGCCAGGCACAGACAGGGGGGACCCCGAAGCGATAGCGAGCGACTCGAGGCGCGAGTTTTCTCCCCACCCCCCCACTACCTCTTTTCCCTTTCCCCGGCGGCACGGCTCAAACCCCAACTCGGCCCCAGTGTGCGGGCCGCCAGGTGGGGGCGTTCCCAGGCCCGGAGGGCCGCTTCAACGCTGTGAGTTGGGAAGGACCATCAGCCCCAACACGAGCGAAGAGGTCCTGAACCCTGCGCAAGAGCGAGGCCTCAGGTCTCCGCCACGGGCCGAACACGACCCAGGGCGCGGGGCAGCTCCAGGCGACACGGGGGCAGCGGAGAGGCAATCCAGTCCCTTTTCGGTACCCCTCAAGGAACTCGCAGTGGGCGGCCCGCTTGCCCTAGACCCCCGTCTAACAGGAAGGGGGTCCCCCTGCGGCGCCTGCAGGAGTCAACAGAACTATCCGTCGGCCCCTGGCTGGGCGGGGGATGGGCCCAGAGCCGCACGCCCGACCAACAGAACAACCTCGGAATACTCCTCCACAGTGCCTGGACGCGCCACCGTCCTCTACACGCCCCAGGCGGCCCAGGAGGACCACTTGACCACGACGGTCAGGATTTCGACCTCGACGAAGTCCCAAGCGCCAGGCACGTTGCCAGCACTCTGTGCCACCTCGACGTAATGGGATTCGCCTGGTCGGCCATTGGTTGTGACTTCGAGGCAAGATTCGGCGGAGTCAGGCCTCGCCACGGGCAGCTGCTTGCGTTCAGGCTCCTGGCCATCCTATTCGACCTGCAGCTGCAGGACGCCAGCAACGATGATCCACCGCCATCAGGCCCACCCGACGACGGATGGACTGCCGAAGACGAGGCGGCAACTGCATAATACCTCCACATGGTGGAGGCGGCGGCCTATTGTGGGTTCCTGCTCACTCAACGGCAGATTGAGGACCACCAGATCGACCCCGCTCCCCCCATTAAAGTCCTCCCACCACCGGCTTCCCGCCTCCACAGCTACTTCGACCCATGGGACCCTGGCACAGCGGCTCGGGCCAAGAAGTTGCTCGTTCAAGAACGCAGAGGCCTAGGCACCATCCACCTCCCAGACTACGACCACCTGTTAAGATGGGCCTGGCGACACGGAGCAGAGCCATGCGCTGGACACGACGTCCACTCGATCCCAATGGCTGGAGATGGACCGCTGTCCTGGGCTGTCCCGGCCATCACCCCTCCCCAGCCGTATCGTGGCACCGCCCCCCCGTTGGCACACCCCGGGGTTCGCCTACCAGCTACGCAGGGTCCGTCAAACACCTACTGGCCTTGGGACCGCCCGCACGGCCATACGGCTTCAGATCGTAGTAGTAGTAGTAGTAGTAGTAGTAGTAGTAGTAGTAGTAGTAGTAGCAGTAGCAGTAGCAGTAGCAGTAGCAGTAGTAGTAGTAGTAGTAGCAGTAGCAGTAGTAGTAGTAGTAGTAGTAGTAGTAGTAGTAGTAGTAGTAGTAGTAGTAGTAGTAGTAGTAGTAGTAGTAGTAGTAGTAGTAGTAGTGTAGTAGTAGTAGTAGTAGTAGTAGTAGTAGTAGTAGTAGTAGTAGTAGTAGTAGTAGTAGTAGTAGTAGTAGTGGTAGTGGTAGTGGTAGTGGTATAGTGGTAGTGGTAGTTGTAGTGGTAGTGGTAGTAGTAGTCGTAGTAGTCGTAGTAGTAGTCGTAGTAGTCGCAGTAGTAGTAGTAGTAGTAGTAGTAGTAGTAGTAGTAGT